AATGGGTTAGTATACATACATATATACGTAAGAAATAACAACTCCATAACGTATAATAATAAGGTTATCTTCTCATCGTATTATTCAGGTACTCTGTCTGTTAGGAATTATTTACTATCATCGCACTCTCGATACAGGTCAATTGTTGATTCTTCATGGTTGGTTCTTTGTTGCACTTTCTTACATCCTCTCTTACATTTGGGAAAATCCTGATCCATGGGTGGTAGGTTACATATATAATCGAGACAGTCATTTTATTTAACAAAATTCTTAAAAATAAAATTTATCAATATTCTTATAATTTTATATCAAGGAGGTATTTGCGATTGGAATTTATATTATATTGATGATAGTTACTATCTTCATGGATTTAACATTGCATTCCATTTTAACGATAATTCTAGGTATTTATGATTGAAAAAAAAAAGTTTCACCAGTTTAAAAAATTGATTTTATATGAATTTTTAAAAGATTCTTGAACTATATACATCTTTTTTCAGTCATTCTTCTGATTGCTGATTTAGTGTATATAATTGTAACTAAAACTTCGTAAATCAAGTTTCGTGGAAGAATTTGATATTATTTGAAGGTACAACGAAGGAGTAAGTTTGAATAATAAAAAATGTTTTAATTTTTTTATTTAAAGGTTTAGTCACATCTTTCGTCGGATCGTTCTTATCAACGCTCTGACAATTCTATTTCTTGTGGTCGTAATTCTGCTATCAGATACACTTGCCTGTTATCCATAAAAATTTTCATACAAACATCGAACATCATTAGGAAGGAGCATACTGTTAATTATGTGACAAAATTATTCTATTAATTATCTTTTTGTATTCGTAAACATTGTAACAGACAAAACTAAATTTATAATCCAGACGTACTTATTAAAATGATTCCAATTGTTTTCTCATCACATTGATTTTTATTGTTACTCTGTATTATCGTATAATATCTAATGATACCTGATATACTTGCTATCCAATATAAAGTAATACCGATTAGAAAATAGGTGAATTCCTATAAAAAAAAAAGCCATAGAAATGTTGATATTATTATTATAAGTAACAAATAAAATATAAATATTTCAATAATACCATGACGTTTTTCTTCTTTTGAAAAATATGTGCCAAACTCAAAACAAGTAAGATAATAGCATAAGTCATGGAATTTATTGAATAAATGATCCATAACCACATTGGTACCGAATGTTCTTGACATTTTGATAAGATATTCATACAAACGCATACTAAAACCTAAATCTTATTTTTTAGTTTATTACCTGTAAAAGAAAATTCTATTAAGCGATCTACTTACCAAATGAATTATCTTAAATAAAAGACTATAATCTTTTAAAAGACGTTTTACAAACTCTTTCATTTATCAAATGAATTCTAATCACCGTGAAGTTTATCACGCATAACATTAATTGATTAAATAAATATTAAAATAAATAATAAAATATTAAATATAACTACTAATAATTGATAACTAAATTCAGTTATTCAATATACGATTTTGAAATAGAAAACGATGAACATTAAGAACGTTCAAATTTTTATTAATCATTCATCCATATTTTATAATTGTATAAATTTGTTATATTAAAAATATATTTATTCGGCAATTTCAGCAGTTCTAGCGTGCGTTGCACCTCCACCACGACGTAATCGACCATTTCCTGCTCCTCCTTTACCAGTTTTTATTATCAACAATACTAAGTCGATTATGAGAATCACTATAGAGACTATCGGAGACAAAAAGTAATAAAGTTAAAATAATAATTTTTATCTCTTAATTACGATAATAAAGAAAAAATTAATGATTTAAAGATATAATTTAATATTAATTAATTACTAGTTGCTAGTCCAAGAGATATGGCGAAAGATCTGCTTTCGTGTTCTATAAAATCCTGATAATTAAATTTTCAAATATACGTAAAAAAAATTATTAAATAATCTATACATTTACTCACGAGTATGTTTGTCAATATAAATGTCACCTGCTCCATCATCGTCATAATAATCATAAATCAATGAAAATGTGCTAATTGTTAACATCAGTACTGTGACTATAATCATACAGCATTCCTATAAATGTAGAATATGAGATCAATTAATGTTATCTAACTTAATAATTAATTAGAATCTCAGTAGCATTACCCAAATAAAGGTAGTACTGAACCATACATAAGCATATAATATGATAATCATATTTATCAATGTTGTATAAAAATAACCAATTCCAAATGCATAAAGTTGATGACATGCTGCATAAACATCGAAAAAAAAGAAATGTATGCCCAATAAAGTGTTCTAAGTGAATATAAAATAATTATTATTAATGAATTAAAGAAAAAATATTGATTAAAGGTTATTTAACGCTCACGAAAACAATCATTTTTAAAACAAAGTGAAAGTTCTTCCATAATTCCTTGCAAGTACGACCCATTTTCTCTTCTGATCAAATAAATTATCTTTCTTATTTGAAAACTCGAGAGATCTTAAATTTATTTTTTATGATGTCAATTTCCCTTCGTGATAAGGATATCGATATTGATAGTGCTATCGTTTATCGATTATAGTATATATATACATTTATATATACTATATATATACTATTATATAGTATATGTATATACATTTAAGTTAATAATTGAAATGTATATATATATACTATTATATACTATTATATAGTATGTATATACATTTCAATTATTAACATTAGAGACTGCGGAAAATGATTTTGCAGCAAATAATTATTTAAAAATTATAATAATTAACAAGTCACATGCACATTAACACAAAGAATCGATAATTTCTTCGTACACAATCTGTCTTAATAATTATTATTTTATAATAATTAATTTTGCCATTGTCCACGTTAGTTACTTTATTTACTATAAAATGTAATAAAATATGTATTTCAATGTGAATGACTCGAATTAGTACAATGACGAGTGAAATTATTTTATGACAGTATGATTAATCGTCTTTAATGTATCTATGAAATGGATTAACTTTCAGTATAAAATATTCACTTAATATCTAATGAACGCGTTAATCATATTCTTCTTTCGTCAAATGCCGTACGCTTAATAGTAAATCCAAAAGATATAATACTCCTTCTATAATACATAGCGAACCAAGAGCCAATCCAACCTTTAAAAAAATACATATTAATAAATAAATATTATAATTCAAGATATTGTAACTTGATAAAATATATAATTTTATTCATCGTAATACCTCTTTTTCTGGTACTAAATATTCAAATTTATGCTCTGGCTGATATCCATGCCAATAGTGTAGAGCTGTGCCGCCAACAGCGAGGAACATACAGAGGCCTAGAAAGTTCATGATAATGTCCTGAAAAAAGGAAAATAATGACGATAAATTATATATTATCTTTTTTCGAAACCCGTCTAATAAATAATCACGAAACGTTGAACTTACGACGAGACTTTTTTTGTGATTAGTCGTACCAAAACAAAAAGTAATTAGAACAACACCAGTGTACAGAAAAAATCCTACGAAAACACCTGATCCAACGATCTCAACATCAGGGTTTTTATCCTCGTTGAGATTCCATTGTCCACCGATTCCCAAAAATTCGCCGGCATATCCCGTTCGATATAGAATTAGAATAATAAAATTTATCACCTGAAAAAGAAATAAGATGCATTTCAAATGATTTACAATTCATTAGTTTCGTCTCATTCCTTTTTTCTTCTTTTACTATTTCATGACTAATACACAAAAAAAGGTTATGGTGAATCTAACGTGCTCGTTTCACACTTTTGTGTATCACAAATGAAAGCGTATCACTTTACAAACAACATTTCTTATCTATAGCAAGTCGATAAGAAACGAAATGAATCATGAAATCGCGTAAAATTTTTCTTAATGACTGTATTTATGATATTCTCTGATCATAAAAATACTTTGGTGATTCAATCATATAAGTAAATATAAATTCCGAATAAATTTTGACAACAAATCATTCAATTTTATGTTACTAATCTCATTCAAACAGTCAGAAAAGGAATTCCTCCGTTCATTTTTCTTTTTCTTTTTTTTTCTTTTTTTTCTTTTTTTTCTTTAATTATAAATCATTTATTATAGAATGTCACCGTTAATAATTTCATTAAAAATCATTATAAGTTATAAACTTAGCACATAAAAACGAAACACTTGCACACACTGAGAAAAGATCGATAGGATCAACGTAATCCCTTTAGATCATTCATTTTATTTGATTCACAAATATCTCGATAGAAATTCCATTTTTAGATTTTCCATTATAAATGATCATTGTATCCTCACCAATTTAAGAATTTTTATTGTAATAGATGCTATTGTTTCAATGGACACCATTTTGATGCCAGTTTATTAGGAACACCTTCGCAATGAGGAAGAATGAGCAAAGTGGAGACAACACTATTAAACGATTTTGATCCAGAAAACCAAGCTCTCCGTATCTAATCAGATAATATTCTACGAGATAACGAACAAGTACTTGCTCATTCGTCTCGTCTTATCTTTTACGCATTCTATCTTTTTTTTTTAAATTCAATGCAGTGGTGTAAAAACTCTTTACTATTGCCTTTACTACAAATAATGAGTCATAGATCGTTCTCTGAGAAATTCATTATATTTTTTTAAAGAGAAAACGAATATTTAGATACTACATATTTCATTGTTTTAAGGGAGTTTAGAAAAATTTATGTTTTATATTCCGTAAATTTGTTAAAATATAAACAACATGAAAATTTCTAATTTTTCAAAAACATTGAATTTACAAAGATTTTATTGGGAATGGTTAAGTCCCTTAATCATACGATTCGATCTATAAATTTCTGATAATCGATCGAATAAATAATTTATATATTTTTATTGTTTTAGCAATTGGGATTGGCTATTACTCAAGACCAAATCAACGAAATGGAGACACACATCGATAATATCGATTTCGAAGCTGTTGCCAAAGTAGAAAAAGCTACCAGACATGACGTAATGGCTCATGTTCATGTCTTTGGGAAGCAGTGTCCTAAAGCAGCACCTATTATTCATTTGGGTGCTACTAGTTGTTACGTTGGTGATAATACGGTAATGAATTGTTTCATATATTTCTAAAATATAAACATCCCCATGAAAAGTACTTTCCAAAGAATAAACACATTATTGCATGATTTGATCGATTCAGTGTTAACAAAATTTAATTTCATTCTTATTTCTTAAGGATCTACTGGTACTTCATGAAGGATTTCAAATTCTTTTACCTAAATTGGCGAAAATCATACAAAATCTTTCCAAATTTGCCACAGAACATGCGTACGTTCCAACATTAGGATTCACTCATTTACAACCAGCTCAACTAACGACAGTTGGTAAAAGAGCTTCTCTTTGGCTTCACGATTTACTGATGGACGAAAGAGCTCTTTTACGTGCAAAAAATGATCTAAAGTTTCGTGGTGTAAAGGGTACGACAGGAACTCAGGCGTCATTTCTTCAATTGTTCGATGGTTAGTAAAATTTTAGATAAATGATTTTGAATGTAAAAATAATTAAAGATTAGAGAATTAAAGATAAACAAATCTATTAAACAAATTTTTCTTTTTTTATTAAATATATCTTGTTTAATTAATTTAATTATAGTACTAACGATATTATGTCAATTTTTAGGTGATTCTGAAAAAGTGAAGCAATTAGATGCTCTAGTAACAAAGATGGCTGGATTCGAAAAGCATTATGCTGTTACAGGACAGACATATAGTAGAAAAGTAGATGTGGAATGTTTGATCGTTTTAAGTTCATTAGGATCTACTGTTCACAAGGTAAAAAGATCCTTTCAATTTGAAAGATATTGTTTTGAAAATCTAAAAAATTTGTTTAATAGATTTGTACCGACATCAGGCTGTTAGCGAACATGAAAGAGTTGGAAGAACCATTCGAGATGACTCAGATAGGATCAAGTGCCATGCCGTACAAGAGGAATCCGATGCGTTCCGAAAGATGTTGCAGTATTGCACGTCATTTGATAACACTCTGCAGTAATGCATTTCAAACCGCAGCTACTCAATGGATGGAAAGAACGCTGGACGATTCAGCCATACGTAGAATAACTCTTTCTGAAGCTTTCCTTTCAGCGGATGTCATTCTTATGACGTTACAAAACATCACGGAAGGTTTAGTAGTATATCCCAAGGTCATTGCAAAACACGTTGCTCAGGAATTACCTTTTATGTGTTCTGAAAATATTATAATGGCTATGGTGAAAGCTGGTGGCGATAGACAAGTGAGATTTTATTCTATTTCTCTAATGCACTACTTTTTTTTTCTTTTTTTTTTTTTTCTTTTTTTTTTTATAAGTTTATTTATAAATCTGTTTTATTCAGATATGCCATGAAAAAATTCGAGTACTATCGCAAGAAGCTGGAGATCAGGTAAAGCAACATGGCCTCGACAATGATTTGATTGATAGAATTAAAATGGACCCATACTTTGAGCCAATAATTAGTCAACTCGATGATTTGTTAAATCCTTCAACCTTCGTTGGTAGAGCTCCCGAGCAGGTTATCGAGTTTATCAAGGAAGAAGTTCATCCTGTTCTCAAAAAATATAAATACATGAGCGGTCCGGTTGAACTTAATATTTAAGTAACACATCATTTTAATATAATTTTGTTATCGTAGAGAATTAAATAGTTCTACAATTTTTATACAATTGTTATATAGGAGAAAATTTTTAATTTCATATATTTTAAAGAAATATATAAAGGAAATATTCAAGAATTTGATTAAAAATCAATTGTTTTAATATTAAGATCATTTAGCACATCAAGAAGCATATTTATAGTAAGAATAATAAGAAATCATGCTTTTAATATCCAGAAAAAGAATTGATCATTCTTGTAAATATTAATCATTGCGCCTAGAAACTAAGAAATATCCCGTACAAAAGTCAATAAGTATCAATAAGAAACTTTCAACCGCTGTACTTGACAAAAGATTAAAATTTTATATTACATGTATTATCAATTATATTGTATTGCTTATTTTCTGCCATTCTTTGTAACATAAATAATTATAACAAATGTATAAATGCTCTTCGAATGTTATTAATAGAATATATTAGTTGAAGGTGCTTAATATACCTGACTTTTTAAATAAGTTCTTTTCTTTTCTTTTTTTTTTTAAAGATAAGCGTTTAAAAGATAGATAATTATATATGAGAATAAAGGAGTTTTTTTAATTTTATTTCTTATTTTATTTCTGTAAAATGCCATTGAAAAACTTATGCAATAGCATGAGTTATTTTTAAAGAAAGGAATGTCATTGAAATGAACGTTCGAAATATTTCTTTTTTTTTCCATATTTCTATTGTTTTTTGCAGAAAGAACAGAATACTGTTTATATAAGAAGATATAAGATTTTTTGTTCGTATTCATTGAGATTTCAAATTTATAAAGTATTTTAGGAAAGGAAGGAACAGGCGCATCGTTCACAGCCAAGCTAGGCTTTAAAATTTAAATTCGATAAAATCACTTTTTAACCTTGTGTTTACAAATTCAATTTGTTTATATTGATTATTTGTTTCTTTTTACTTGACAATCTTCTCGTCAACTTAACAGTCGTGATAGCAAAGACAGATAAAGCGACGAAGAGAAACGGAAAGATGAAAATTTTTACAAGAGTTTATAAATTGAATATTTACAAATTGAAAAGAAGTTAAAGAGACAGAAAAGCGAAGTTTTTTCAAAGAAAGTGAAACGCAGTAGAAAATAAGTAAAGGAAAATAATAGATAATGAAGAAGTGAAGAGATATTGAAAAAGACCGAATGTTTTATTTAAAAAAGGAAAAGAAATATTTATAATAAATTTGTTTCGCAGATATTGAATAAATTATGCATAATCTCTGTATACAGATTCGCAGTTGTAAAATCAGAAAGAAATGACAGATACATATGTAATGGCAATGATGTGCTATAGTACAATAGATAAGCTATGACGAAAGATGATACAAAGAATAGTGGCATATAAATGATAGAACATACATCCTAATCACAGTGCATAGGAAACCTATGTTTTCACTAGATTTTGTACAGAGTGAGTATTAATAGGTGGGAAAAGTAGACTAGAAAAAGAAAGGATATAGTAAATGATTTATCAATTAAAAGACGAAAATGATCGACTTTCTTCTATGCCCATTTTTACATTTTTTTTTTTTTTTTTATTCTTTTGATTTATTTTTAAAGAAATATTAGAATATAGTACAAATGTGCGTGATAAAACACACAGTTAAATTTCATACTATCATCATTCGTTGAATTTTAGGCAGTAGAGGAAGATAAAAGAGACAGATAAAAAGAGAGAGAGAAAGAGAGAGATAAAGGAAAAAAGAAAAATGAAATGTACAAAGATAAGAATAGGTTTACGAAAAGAGAAGAAATTGAGCGTTAAAGAAAAGAAAGTAATGATCACAGTGTTCAGTTTTATATTGCTTAATAGAAAGAAACAAAGTATTGAAATACAGATATAGCAATAGACTAGAAATGATGTTGCACTCTTGTAGATAGATTAGAAAAGATTAGAAAGAGAAGATAGGAAGAAAAAAAAAGACAGAAACATTAAAGAAAAGATGAAAAGACAGAAACATAAAAGAAAAGATGAAAAGACAAAAACATAAAAGAAAAGATGTAAAGATAGAAACATAAAAGGAAAGGACAAAATGAAGTGAAAAAAATAAGAAAAAGACCAAAGAAAAAGATATATAAGAGAAAAAAAAAGAAGAAAGAAGAAAATATAAATTCAGAGATAGAATTAATCAGAATATAGAAATAGAAAAAACGCAAGTAATATGATAGAAACGGATTAAAAAAAATATAGAACGAAATGAAAGTAGATTTAGAGAGAAAGAGAATTTTGTACAAAATAAGTTGACAGACACAAATATTTCATAGAAGTATTTTCAAGCTTTTGAGTACAATGAGAAAAAAGTAAAAATGAAGATGAAAGAAGAAGATAGAATAGTTTAAAGGATATGTAGAAATTATGATTAATTAAGAAGATAGAAAAAAAAAAAGATAAGAAAATGAATAATTCATAAATAGATATACTATTTCATAAAGTATACAAAAGAAATTATTTCAAGAAAGTTTTAAAAAAAAGAAGGAGAAATAAACAAGCAGAACAGAGAAACAGAGGAAATAAGATAAAAGCTTTTATTTATAATATATATAGTAGGAGAATTAAATAGTTTGAAAAAAGTAATTTGTAGAAAATAAAGAATAAGTAAGATAGTAAAGAACATAGAATAGGAACGAGATTAAGAAACGATGTGATGAGAGAATTAGTGAAGAGAAAAATTAAGAAGTAATTAGAAAAATAACATATCTTTGAAACGATAGTTCAGGTACAGTAGTAAGAAATAGAAGTTTGTACAATGAGAAAATTAATATACAGACTTAAAGAAAAAATGCGTTTTAGAGATCTTGAACGGAAACTTTACAGAAGTTAAAGTTGAAAAGAAAATTGAGAGAAAAGGGGAAGTTTAAAAATGAAAATGTAAGTAGAAAATAGTAGAAAGTAGTATATCGAAATGAAATTCATATTGGCAAGATCAAGCAACAAATCTTGAGTTTGATAATACTGATATGTTGATGGCAACGAAAGATAAAGAGTGGAAGAAATAAAAGTGAAAATCATTATAGAAGATAAGATAGGTACACATAGAAGAAATCAAATGAAAAAGAAAAAGTTGAGAGGCTGCACGTGGGATAGAAATTTTGAAATTTTGCGTGAGAAATGATAAAGCAGCAAGATTAGAAAAAAATATGAGGAGATAAAAAAATCAAAATAAATTGACATAGCTAAAGTATAGTAAGAGCGCTGAGAATTTTTTAGCAAAGACTCATAGATCATTGTCGAAGATCGTTTTCAAATGGTCAAGTAATTTCATCGATTCCATGTTTGATTGCGACAAAGAAAAAGAGAATCGATGAGATTGCGAGGTACCTGAAAATCGATATACAAGCGAGAAAGGGCTATCACAGAAGGTTAGGTTTGTCGAGAAGGTCCAACTATTCCCATGAGTATAAAACCTCAATAATGATGGAATCATTTTTTGGAAGAATCGTTCAAATAGTAAAGCAAGAAGGAAGGATTTGCCGATTTTAGATTTCTTGATGAAACACCGAGTGACCAGTCAACGAATCAATTTCTTTTTTCTTTTTCTTTTAGTATTTGAAACATATAAAATTATATCAATTAAATCAGTACAAAGTATGTTATTGAGTTTGTATTAAAATACAAACGTTTTAGGAATTTCGAAAAGTAATTGAATTTGATTCGTTGATTGCACTCAGCGAGGAACCTCCCTGGAAGATGTCTCGATCGTGAAGAATATCCGGAACTATATTAGATTCATCAATTTCTGTTAATATTCGGAAAATATTTCCGTAATATTTTCAAATTCTACGAGAATCGCCGCTCGATCTCAAATATTAATAGGCAATAAGATTATATTGCCGTTCAACAATTTGGATCAGCGTTAACGATCGATATCCAATCGTCATTTTGATCTATGTCAAGTATTAGTTTTGAAGTCGAAGATCCGTACTATCGTATCCGGTGAAAGACAATTAATATAAACCAGGACAGCGGATGATGAAGATTCCTTAATTGTTTCCTTTGTGTTTACCAATACTTCGTCATATTCAACCAAAAGAAGTCCTAAAGAAAAACAAAAAAAAAATATTTAATTACGTTTCATTGATAAGAAATCTCACACCTGATCAATCAGACACGCTTAGTCATATCTTCTCGAGATTAAAAGGAAATACATAATCGATGGTAAACAAATGAGGATAAGGAATCTATAATAAACAATTAAACTCACCATTGGTTGAGTAAAAAAACCATTGGTTTTTTGGGTTGTAAATGTTACTAGTGATTGTTGCCGATTTATGATGTTACGTGCCATCGAAGAATAACACTCTTCTTATCTTGGCCAATACAACAGTTGTCAGTATCCAACACCGACTTCACCGACCTAAAAGCAAAAAAAATTTTTTTTTCGAATTCTATTCTTAATATTTTCCTATACTTTTAAATCATTCGATTAACGCATATTTATTATTCGAATATTTCCTTATTTCATCATTTTTATTATAGAATTTGCCTCAATCATTATTATGACTGTCAATGTAAGAAATCTCTGCATGTTTGACCAATCGATTCGTTACGTAAATATTACACAATTTTCAGTGATAATTACGAAGTTCTCAAATGTTTCGTAAAGTATCTTGAGATCGATTATCTCGTTTTTCGAAAGATTGTAAAAGTGAAATATATCGCCAGTCCATCTTACGTAACTATTTGCGTAGGCGAGTACCAAGGATTTTTTAGCCTTTTTATCTTGATTAATTTTTTTTCTCCCTCCAACGATTTAGAACTCGTCAAATAGCAACAATCTCGGAGGCGCTTGCAAGCAAAAGTTCATCCGGTTTCTTACTTTCACTGCTCGGGGCTCTTTTCGATCCCACGTCCATGCAGTAACTTTTCTTCTCGTCTTTCATTCTTCTTTATTTCCCTCTCCTTTCACGTCATCATAAATTCATCCTCTATCATTCATTTTCGAAATTACGCTTTCCTTTTTTTCCATAAAACGACGCGTTAAATATATAAATCGCTTATAAATTACTATATATAATATAGAGTAATTTTGATATATGTATGTTCGTTATTTGTAATAACTATTCTATGTCTAATATATCTAATATTTTTTTACTTATATACCACGTATGTGTTCATACGTATAGAATCATATATATATATAGATAGATATATAGATGTAGATATATATATATATATATATATATATATACATACATATAAATTGTTTAAAAGTATCACGTATAAATATTGTAATTATATAATATAATACTAAATATTACAATAATATATTATAATGATGAATATTATAATTATATAATATTATAATGAACATATAGTGACATATAATACGAACAGATACATTTCTTAAAAGGAGATTAATAACTTGTTAAGAAAATCAAAAAATCGTTAGTTGGTTCGTTCGTTTCGCTCTGCCAAACACAGAAGCTAATCGTATAAAAAATTTCCTCCTTTCAATACGACTAGCTACGATGATCGAAACTCGACACTTTCGAACTCCAAATCAAAGGAGAAAGTAAACCTATTTTTTATACTTTACTACTTTTTAAAACTACTTTTTTTTCACGTTCTACTTGTATTCATTAATTCTTTTCTCCATTTCTTTTTCGTTCTTTTTGTTAAGAAATTATATTTAACTACTTGAAATTTATTCGTTAATAAAATGTACAATTGTAAGGGTATGATAGAATTCGAATTATCGTCACGTTTTCAAGCTAACGCAAAACTATCGAAAAAAAACGCAAAACTACGAAAAAAATAAAGAAGAAAAGAAAAAGTAAATAGTTATTCGTTCGGCTCGATTGGCCACACCGCAAGATAACGGCAATAAGCTTACTCTACTTCTCGGCATCAGCCAAGGGAAAGTTTCGAGAGCAGGAGAACTACTCTGCAAGTTTCCATTTGCATCCTACTTTTACATCCTACTTTTGCCTATCACGAGAACTATCGTTTCAACGCGTCACGCTCAATCGATTTCACACTTTACATTTATGTCGATATCGCTTGTTATCAATACGAGTTCTGTCATATCATATTTATACTTTTTATTTTTTTTTTTTTCGTTTCTTGACTTTAACACGACGTGGATCTGATTCTTACGACCCTTTCACTTTCTCGAATTTCAAAGTAGAAACGTGACGCTTAAATGGCACGACTCTTGTTGATCGTAATTAGAGTATTATCGTAAGTACAAATAATAAATTTTATCGATCAAAGAAATCTAAATGCATATACACAATAATAATAATGCTTATAAATATAATATATAATTAGATTGATAACTTTAGATAACTATATATTATCCAACTACGTTAAATTTAATTTTAGCAATCTCATACGATCTTGCCGAATTTAAAGCATTCTTTCTATATCAATCGAAATCAATATTTTATAAAACATTGTTAATAATAATTTATGCCGATTAACTGTCTTTACTTTTATTTAATTTTTGAATTAAAAAAAATTGTTTGTATATACGTACACACATACAAACAATTATATATATATATATATATATATATATATATATTGATTAAAAAATCCTATATGCGTCGTAGTAACCTAATAATTCTAAACGAGGTATCTCTTAATTTGATTTTACGTAACGTGCCTATAAGATGCCCTAATTTGCATCAACTACGAAGAATCGCATACATGTATCTGTCTGTTATAATCAAATAAACATGCATGCTAAAATGATAGCGCAATTACGTAGTAATCTAGTTCGTATCATTCGTGTTTGTTAAGCCAACGAACGAATTGAAGGAGCTAAAACTTGCATAAATTATACTTCGATTATCTTTTATCAAAAGAAAAATATTTGTCTTTTATCCTGGAAAAGTATTAATGCTTAATCACATAATTAAAAAGACTAACTTTTCGCTTCGTATATTTTGTTTACTTATCTTAGAGAAAAATCCATGGTTATGCAACTCATTTGTACAGCATTAATTTTTATACATTCTATCTCTGATATTATGTTCCTTTCTTGAAACGTTTTTCAATTTATTATGTGGAAACAATGAGATTGGCCTTGAACGACATTCGTTACTTTTTAGAACCAGTTTGTTTTTAGAACCAGTTTCTCGCCTCGATTAACAAAAAAAAAAAAATAAAAACTCACGCACGTTCTTAGTAATATATTGAATTTTTTCGATATGTCGATTTGAACGTAGTACACACGATATATCATTTAATTGTCACGTCAGCCTTCGTTAAAGTTAAAAGAAATTAATATTCGTTGATTAGAGATCAATAAAAGATTTTTTATTCTTTTAATCAGCAATTGAAAAACAACCTTTTACTGGTCTCCTATCGGCGAGTTAATTAATACAGAATAATTTCGAATGCGATTACGATGATGAAAAATGAAAAAAAAAATGAACATGCTAATTGCACAAGCACGACTTAATAAAGTAAACTTTAAATTTGTTATTTTTTTTTCTCTCTTTCTCTCTGTCTGTCTCTCTCTCTCTCTCTCTCTCTCTCTTTCTTTACATGTTACAAAATTATTAAAAATTCAGCTTTATCTTTGTTAACTAGACATTGAATATTTTTACACAAACATTGTTTATCTTTATCAAGAACACTATACATAAAATATAATATATTTTTCACTATCACTCGTTTATTAATCGCATAATCGTAAGTCAATTCCATGAGATCGCATCTCATGATTATATCGAAGATCTTGTAAGCTTGTGCGATGACAAAAAGCGAAACAATTATTTTTACACAGCAAATTAATTAAAACACGAAGAAAAAAGAAAAAAGAGTCTAATCTTGACGAGTAGAAAAAAGAACATATTATATCATTAATACACAATGAAGTAAAGGAGCGTTTACTTCATTTTACTTATTCGTGAAATATCATTTGTATCAAATTTTAAAAAACGTTCAAACGGTCATCGTCAAGTTTCGAAAACATTGTCCACATTAGGTATAACAAAAAATAATAAGCAATTTCGTTTATAATAAGTAACTCAATAATTAAACGATTCTTAATTATTCTTCATTTAATTGATTCGATATATTTATATAAAATAGCAAATTATAATACGATGATAAACTCACATGATGTTGGAGAAGTGGCGTGGTGTCGTGAAGCTTTAGCCGATTAGGCTCTTTCTTGTCGTGTTCGATCTTCGATCTTCCAGGTAAGTTGAACCAAGTGGATGCGACGTATGCCTTTATATCACCTCTTAGTCCGAACCTAACTACAGTATAGTCCACGTTACTGCCACTTTTTCCTTTGCTCTCCCTTCCTCTTTAATTTCTTTTCTTTTTCTCTCTCAACTTTCAACGAGTTCTACGTGTTCTTTCAACGAACCCCACTCCTAACTCTTTCTCTTTCTCTCTTTCCCTCTCTCCCTCTTTCTTTCCCTACCCTTTCCCTCACATATATACACTCTTTTTCTCTCTCCCTCTCTCTTTGTAACTATCTTGACCAGCCACGTTTCGTTTTACAAACACTCATATAAAGATAGAGACAGTTCGAATGTCAAAGCGGTCATGCGCGATCATGGCTCTAACAGCTCTCTGTTTCTCTTTCTTTACTCTCGTCCCTCTTGCATATGTTAGGGAAGAAGAAAAAGAAAAGAGAGAAAGAGAGATGTATAAATAAAGAAAGTAGTCGACAGAGTGCGTTTTACATTGCAAAAAGGGAATGTTAATATGTTCCTTCTTACGATCAGGGGTCATGTTCGTGCTCTCTTACCTAAGAGCCGGTTATGTAGCTGTTATTGCGATAAAAATGCTACTACCGAGTAGTAATAATACTAACTTTTATCAGATCCTAATATCATATGAATTATAAAATTAGATTATTCTTTCTTTAACGATCACTTAAATTCTAATTGTCATTAGAAATTCTAATTCTAATTGTAATTTAGAAATTCTTGTTATAGTTATTTCAATATTTTTATTATTATTAATAATTGTGTACTATTATTAAGTCCCGTTAAAAATTCTTCTCTTTTTCTCTCTTTCGTTAATTGCTAAAAATATAATGAAAAATTCATGAAAATTATTTTTTCATCAGTAGAAAAGTTGTTTCCATTAAAGAAAACTTCGAGGTTAACATACACGATAACTATCGAATAATTTCATGGAGTCACGTTGCCTTCGCCGATAATACACGTTTTCGAAAGTACTTTCGATCTTCAACGAAGCAGATCGTCTACACACGTAATTTCACAAAATCAAATCGGTTTATATCAAGTTGAATATTAAATATTCCACTCACCGATCGAATCGATAATTTTATTTGCATTAAATATTATTCCTGTTCCTGTTAAACGAAAGAAAAATTTACGTAATTCTCACTTAAAACAGACGAGAAACAGTAACGATCGTTGATCATGAAGTATATCGACGAGTTATTGAAATTTTTTTATTCATATTAAACTTTCCTTCGGATGTTGTTTAAAAGACAGCAACAACTAGTTCAAAATAGAAATTTATAAGGGTTTTTTAAGCTGTTAAACAAACAGGTCAGTTCATTAGAATTTGTAATTTTTACATAATGGATACACATTTTCTTACTACGAGTATAGAGAATTCGTTAAAAAGTTCATAAGACATGTATTTATTTTAGATTGTACTGTTCGAAGGAAGATGCGTTAGTAGGTCACTAGCTGACAGTGAGTATTCGATTTTAATGGCACACTTTTCTTCTCTCATCCTTTCATTTCACCTTTCCCTACGGACTTTTTCTAACCGCTTGTTAAACTACTTGAAGAAGACTCAAAAATACAATAACTAAATATATTATATATTGTATTGTCTTGTTTTTTGTTTTTTCTGTTTTTTCTTCTTTTTTTTTTTTATAAAATTCGTAAAATAATTTTAAAACATTACAACCATAGACTTTCGTCAACCGATAAGTAGACCAGAAAATTGTATATTTACCAAAGTATTTATTAGTTCCAGTTAACACGGAAAGATACGATTATTGGAAAGTTTATAACGATTAGAATGGTTTTCTTCCTTTTTCCTGTCCTCCTCGCTTCACTTCATTTCCAGGGAAACAGTTCCATTTCATAAGAGACGCGATCTACTGTAAAACCGCTTGAACTCTTTCCAAATGATCATCATAATGATCAAGCGATCGTCTTCGTAGCTGCATGGAAAGCGACCACACCTTTTGCTATTCAGAACGAACGAAAGTTTCATTCTCGAAAGAAATAGGTAGTAGAGTACAAATCTATACTATTGTTAGAATATATATCTATGGAGGAATAGGAATAATAATTGAAAGAAAAAAAAGAGAATGAAAGGTGATATTTTGTTTTAAACCACATTTATTCTCAATATAATCATTAATAGGTAACCTAAATGAAATAATGAATGACATGCGATAGACGCTTTGACTTAGGCTGCAAATAAGAAAATAATATCTAAGAAACTCTTCTTAACTATCTAAACTACGACGTAATTTGGAATCCACGCACTCATATATATTAATATTTTATAAGTTTCATTTCACTTTTTGTTATAAAATTAATTGTTAGTTTATATCCGAATATTAACATTTATTAAGTATGGATTATACTATTTGTTAGTAAAGTACAGTTATACTAATGTAACTTATACTAAAAGTTTCGTATTATATTTTTTATATAAAGATATTAAGTCATAAAGATAGGAACGGATTGTACACGAATAACACGGATTAATCAAAAAAATAATAATAATAAGAACAAAGAAAAAGGAAAATTCGGATAATTCAAACATTTCCTTTCGTAAAATTATGTTAATGATTAAAGATAAATTTTGTGTTGTTAAATTACAACGTACAATAAGACATCCTTCGAGATTTAATTAATTGATCTTGCGAATAAAATATACTCACACACATGAGTTATTATAGAAACTAATAACATTTTCGACATATCACTTTTCTTTCCGAGCTTTTATTAATTAATTCAAAAGTTTTTAATTAGTATTTCTTATTTCATATATTTTTAAGAAAAGAGACAAGACTCCATACACACGCGCACACACACGCGTACACGCACACGCGCGCACGTACACATGTATGCATATATAATAGATATATACAAATTTGGAAAGAGATATAAAGAAACACAAGTTATTTATAGTTGCTCACGAGGATATCGTATTGGAATCGTTCTTATCGATCTCTCGCGCCGATTTGGATCAACGATCACAACGGAGTCGACTTTCACTTTAACTCGAGAGGCGACATTGCGCTTTCGCGCGTCTAGCGCTTCCACCTTGTTCGCCTTGGATCTTGCTTCTCCTTTGTCTTTTATATCCTCTTCTCGAACTAGAATAGACAGTTTTTTTATAGTAAGCTTTAATAAAAAAAAAAACTTCCACACCTTCGTGATCTTTCGTTTCGGTTTGTACTCATAAAGAAAACAAGAAAATAAAAGATCTCTTATAAGACTATTCGTTGTTATTTAACTTCTATATTACGATCTGAGAAAGAAACAAAGAAGTCTATACTTTCCTTGATAATTATTATCTTCCTTCGTAGAAAGTTATTTAAATGAGACGATTTTTTTTTTTCATTTCAGACTTACCGACATGTTTCTCTAGGAAGAAAACTGGTAAAATAATAAATAGAATTAATAATCGATAAATATAATTTTTTTCTTTTTTAATTTTTCGATGTCTAACGAGTCTGTAAACTGTTAAAAATTTTTATCGTATTTTATCTCATTTATTTCATTTCGTATATTTTGCGTTTTTAAAAAACTTTTTTAACGTACATATTCGATGAAAATAATAGTACCTTAGCATAAACTTTCTTAGCAGCTAGTTAGCAAGGTTCACAATAATAGAATGTCAGCGATTGCCATTATATTTCACGTGATCTCTTGATCTACACTCTTTATAGTAGTCCTTGAAATTCCAGAAGGAGAAGAAGAAGACGATACTAGGGAAAAAATTGTAGATCATAATCATCAAGGAACGAACAATAGAAGAAGCAGTTCAGATTCTAAACCAGTAAGTTGCCATCTTGGCAAGTTAATACCTTGCTGAACCAATTGCAAGTATTGGTTTTGTTGTCGAAGGTCAAGTGCATTAGACAATTGAACACATGAAGAGTAAATGTTATTTTTTGTCCGTGATCCAATGAAAAGTATAGAATTTGTTATAGAAGTTTGGATATCTAAAGAAATCAATCATATCGTCAAAAATATTGTTCTAGGGATTTTTTTTCATAGTCGCAATTCTTATCCAATTTTGATGATTATAAATGCTCATTCGAAAAATAAAGATTTTTTAGACAGGATTACCTTTTCAGATTTACAAAACAGAAATTTAATTGTGTGAAAATTACTTATTTATAGACTGATGATTTTTGCAAAAAAAAATAATATATATATAGGTATGTACAGTTCTGCACAATCATATGCAAATCTATGCAATAATAATTATGACGAGACAAAGAATGAAATTTGCATCCTGCGATTTATCTATGCCTTTTATCTTTTTATCTTGTCAGTATTTATCTCCAAGTAAACTTCAGCGAATTTTATTCTTAAACTGACTTCTTAATGGCTTGAAACCAGACACATTATATTATACTGACATATATATAAATATTGCAAAAAAAAATATATATTTAGAATAAAATTACATGTTATATATATATATATATATATATATATATATATATATATATAATATTATATTGCATTTATATATAATTTCAAAACAGATATAACAGTGAATATATAAAATAATAATCTATCTATATTTCTATTAAAACGCGAGAAATGGACAATATGGAAAGATAAAAAGAATCTTTATAAAACATAGTAAATTTTGATTGAATTTAAATGTAGCCATTAGCTTCACAGTACTTGCATTATTTCTTACATATCGCAATATTGATTTCTCACTACTTGGAAGTTGCTATATACGAAGACCGACGAGTTAAGACTATATTACTAATGCCAATTATTTTAGAATCAATTATGTAGAATAATTATTATTAATAATTATTATAATTTGGAAAAAACAAAATCAATCCGCGAAACATCAGAAATTTTTTCTAATCGATCGAGATTAGACGAAAATTTATGAATACTTTTGATATAGACTTACCTATCCGATAAACGCGATGGAATAAAGTACTTTGGTCATTTTTTATGCAATTTCATACCTAAACACAAAAATCCAGATATGCATATTTTGATGTGCCTCATATTAAAACTAAAAATAAAAAACAGTGATAGCCCATGTAACGTAGACTACGTCACATGCTTTATTTGGACGTAATGGGATAAATGAATCCTCGATTTCATTACTAATATCGCAAACAAAGAGA